GTATTATTGTTAGTAGGTTTAATCAGCATTTGCCTCTTAGGGCATATTACCTGTTCGACGCGCATTTAGTAATCGCATCTAGCCGCCGGACATTAGCAGCCAGTCGTTGAACATCCGCAGCGAACAATAATAGTCTTGAATCAGTCGCGCGAACCATCTGCGCGTTATCATTCATTTCAGATCCAACAACGAGAGTCACCCAACATCTACGACGAACAGTATGGCCGGGATCCTTCTGCTAGCATCCTTTGTGGCGCGTCGATAGATGATTCAGGACGCCGACGCTCGAATCTACATCACCATTGGAGTAAAATGTGGTCCAAGAGTTTGCGAAGACATGTATGTGATCGGATGGTTCAAATGGTCCATGGGCAGTTGGTATCATACTCATACGGTTTGGTGGTCGTGCCGTCAACGTGGTCAAGCAGTTCGTGAAGACGCGCATTGGACCTAACGGTTCAAATAGTTCCTGGACAATCGATTTCACACTCATATGGTTGGAATGGTCGTGTCGTTGAGTATGCTGTAATGGTTTGATGGATCCGGTCGCACCAGCTCGTAGCCTACTTGTATAGAGTTATAATTCGTTACTTTTTTGTTCGTCCCTTTAATCTTGAGCTACCTATCTGAGTTTGAGCGAGGCGCTCGTGACGAGTTTGATTTTGGCTTTGATTTTACCTAGTCTCATTTGTTTTAACGTTTAACTTGTTTATTTAGTTGATAGCGCTTTAGGGGTAGGTAGTTATCTTGTGCGTTAATGCAGTTAGCCCTTTGTGGTTTTGGTTTGAGCGCGTCGCGGGACGGGTCTCATTACTAGTTTCTTTTACGCGCGTTTCCGGTGCTGCCGATGGATATGTTCTTTTACTGTTTACTTCTAAAACTCATATGGTAGTACCCTCAGTTGTCGCCAGCGTCATCACGTAACCACCTTATCGGACGCTCAAGCCACTGTTTCGGGGGGGAGTGTCGCGGCTCCGCGATGCAGAGCGCTCCTCGGAACAGGAGGCCGGGGGCGCTGTTTGCCGCATTTGCCTGTCGCGCCTTTTGTAGGCTGCTGCAGGACCACCTCCAGCTTGGAAGGTAGCCAAACGGCGGGGTATATAAGGCTGCCGAGAGAGCAGCCGCCGCCTCTTCCTCTTCGACTCTTGTGTGATTATCGATTATCTTATTATATTCGGCTACGTTTCAAGCAGCTCCCGCATTCGAGGACTTTTGGTTGAGCGGTTGAGCTTTTCTTTTATGTCTTGTGTACTGGTCGCGCGTAAGCGCAAGGAAAGTTGAAAGTTGTAGATGAACATCATGCGGGAGTGGAGCTTGGTGAGGCGCCGTTCCATTGGACTGGGCCTCCTTGCGGTCGACTCTGAGGAGAACCCCAGAACTTTATAGTTGGAGTGATTTCTCTCATTCATCGGTATCCTGGGACACGCGGCTCGTCCCGTAACTTGTTCTCATTTATTCCCGTAGTTTAGGAGTCCGTAGTTTAGTAGTAGTTCTTTGTTATTTGTCTGTTTTATCGTTGTTTAGTATATAAACTTACTTAATCTAGTCGTGTTTTGTACGGGTGCATTCTTTTGGTGACAGCGTCGAGTGGACGCGCCTTAAGGGCCCCATAGGTGTCGGACGCGTGACGTCCTAGGGCTAGGGATTGGTTGTGTATGGCGGTCGGCCGGTTGCGACTAGGGGTGCTGAGCTCTCTGAGCCGCAACAAGCGGCATAGAAACATAGCAGTTAAAAAGAGGAAGAAAAGCTGCGTCGGATAGTGTTTAAAACATCTGCTTAACTTTATTCCATGAGTTTTTAAGATTTGTTGAAAAAACGGAAAGAACTTTCAGAGCGACCTAATACATTTTGATTACCGAGGTCTTCGTCAGTTGTTGCTACATGTATGGTAGGTAACTACGATCATTTGACAAGAATAAAACTATTTTCATTTTATTTAATACGCACAAGGCGTGCCGCATTTGGAACAAAGAAAAAGAAAACACTTAGAACGTGAACAGAAATAAACAAAAAAAATAAGAAACAATAAAACCTCCATTAGCTCAAGTCCAACTTCCAGATAACGTGTTTAGAACAGAAGGGGTTGAGCTCGTTTAGACCGTGTACTAATCTGGCACATGCTCTGTAAAGTCTGCCTATGATAATGCGCTGTACCGTCATATGATCTACATCCGCGATGATTCGACTAAGACTTCGGACCCATTTAATCGTCTAGTTGTTGGATTTCCCAAGCTATAGAAAGAGTTGGCAAGTCTTGAATCAACCGTGAGGTCCCGAATTTCGTATTCACAAAGCATGAAATCAAAAATGCAACTTTTAATGTTCGTTAATAATTTGAGACCTTGAGAACTTTGAAGAAAGAGAAAGTGTCAAATCGCGCTTCAACTTCTTTTTACAGCTTCAACTAATCTTATATAAATTCGGATTATATAAGAACCATGTAAAAAGCTCACTCCTCCCTTCTTCTGCTACCCCTTCCCCTTAGATCCAAGCCCCTCCTGTCCGCTACTTGGTTTTCTACCAGAAACAGAATAACCACAATTACTTCTCAGCTAACTGTTATTTCAACAGAAAATTTTGTAGATAGTCTTTTAGTATGAACACTAGAATTTTTGGGAAGTGCATTTTGTACTCACAAGGGAAGGAAACTTGGTCGAGATGGCGTTTTCATTTGAAATGTGTACTATCTCATAGAGCATGGAACGCTGGGTCTAAATCTTTCTCTAGCTGCAAAGCGCTTCTGCGAGGGGATTTTTGGTGCAAAATTTTTTATGATTTGGCTAAGGTAAGAACAGGTGTTGAGGTCTTTCCGGCGTTTGAAAAGAGTAATGACTAACATGATTTATTAGGTAGAAGTATTTGTTGCATACAGCGCTCTGATAGCATTCGTGGCCCCATTTGAGCTCACCGAGTAAAGGCCCAAGATTTTGTTGTAACGGCGCTTTCAAATTTTTGCAAAGAATTTCCATAACTGCCCTCCCAGAAGAGTTTTGCAGATACTGAAAGCAGGTTTGAAATCAGCGTTCCATGCTCTTAAGAATATATACATCATGTACGGAAACGTCACTTCGACCAAGTATCCTTCACTTGTGGTCAGAACATTCATTTCCAACTTACTATTTGCGACATAGCCGAAAATGTTCCCAAATGCTTTTGTTCACATAGCAAAGTTTTTGGCAAAAGAAAAGCAAGGCTAAAGTTTTATTTATAAAACTTTTTGTATAAGAGCAAGGCGTTGTAAAGTGGAGTAGATAACAGCAGAATCAAGATAAGGACTTTAAAAAGTCCATAGAGAGTCGAGTTTCTCTTCACAAGTTTCAAATGTGTCACTCCATCAGTGCAAAACGCCAAAATGTTTGAAAAGGAAGTTGTTTGATTTCGAGAGCCTTTCCGAACTGGCTATGAGCCAACTCTTATTTTTAAATGTTGGAACATTCTATGTTAAACGATGCCAATAACATCAAAGGGTGGCTTAGAAAATTAACAACCAACTGGCAACAACAGTTTGAGTTCTCTGCCGCAAGTGAAATATCCTATGACATAAGGGGAAGAATAAAGAAGTGGTAAAACAGTACGAAAGCGAAGAAATGTTTGCGAAACTAATTTTTCTGATGCCGAAACGTCAGCCCGATAGATGAAGCATCATCGTGACTATGGATCGAAAAACGTTGAGAAAGGTAGAAAGGTAAATATGCCAAAGTTTGTAGAGAACATCTGGGATGTGATGCATCCTTCAGTCGTCGTTTTGTGAAACTGGAAATTTTTTGAAGTGGGAAAATTTGAAGGTACTTAATATTAGGTTGGCAGAAAGTTTTGCCTCATCTTTCAGAATCAAAGTCAATATCTCTCATGTCTCGAGGGATTTGTATGATGGCCTCAGCAGAAAGGGCAAGTCAAATGCACCAATACCATTCTACACAATATAAATGAGTTGAGGATCAAAACATGGGAATCGAATTTGTCTTCGTACATCCCTCGTCGGAGGAGGTGAATTTTGAGCACCGTTTTACGTGTTACGAGATTCACATAGATTGTATTTCAGAAGCACTATCTCAGAAAATCTGGCGTGATTTTTATGCGGCAAGTCATAAGGGGCTTCAACTTGTGGCTGTCCAAGTGGCAAGTGCTAATAGCTCAGATTGTACCTTTCTGTAGTTGGACGAATCAGCTTCCACACATGGAGACAGTTATTTCTGCGTTTGACAAAATACAATTCAGATGATTCAAGAAATGATCTTCTCAGTTGCTGCATTGAAAACAAATACTTGGGGCCTTCCAAAAGAAAACCCAGCTGCCAACACTGACTAGACTACTGCTTTTGAACTCGGCTATTACAAATATAAAGTAAATTTGGAGCGTTACGATCTTATGGTTAGTTTTCACTACTACCTCTGGTTTCAGAGCTGATAGCCTAAGATGATGCTGTGACAGTCTGTCTTGCTTCTCCACCAATCCAATAAAGTTAACATGCAATGAGTGAGATGTGATTTCTTTAGAAGAGATCATGTATAGCTTTGAGCATGAATTGTCTAACATGTAATCAATTCATTCCTCAAACAATGAGTCGTTCAGTTTTTCATATGGAATGAGTAAAGGTCGTCAATGCCTTTGTATTAGGTTGAAAGGTTAATCTCACTAATTATCTGTAGGTTCCTTCAAATTCATTGCATAGGTGTTGTACAACATAAGTGAAAGGGAAGGAGCTAATTTCTTGTAGTGCTCTATGCGAAATTATTTTTAGATAAACATCCAAGTTGGATTTTTTGAAATTCTGGTCGCGATACGAAAAGACTTTAGAGTTTAAAACGATTATCTGGGTTTTCACAGTGAATGAAGTCTTCGGTGCAGACTCTTATGTTATACCTAATCCATCCTATGTCAGATATTTCTATATAACGCAGTGGAAAACATGGAAATTTGAATGTGTTTACATGCTTGAGTGATCTGGTCGAGCTTGCAAAACCCTGGATCTTCGAGCTGGAATGGCATAAACCACTTACAGGTATTTGCAGATCTGGCAGTGTTTTTAACTTTCTCGGCGGGGCTTGCAGCAGATATGGAGTCAATGTGTTATTGTTAATTACGAGAAAGAGCGAGTAGTCGTTTCTGCACGTCCCTATAAAAGTAAACTCAACAGTTTAGACACAAAACTGAAGAATTAAGAAGCAAAACCAGTGCCTTCATTCAGAGATGGCCGCCGATATACCGGAAAACCGTCGTACCAGTGAAATTCATCATCACATTCTAAGACAGATACGAATATGGTAGGCCTCTCGAGTTCACTGAAAACCGAAACTATGTTCAAATATAAAATATCAAGGTGTCAATTTTTCAGACAAATCCTATTCCGTGATGGCAAGATTTTATAAAGAAGTTTTCTTTTCTTCTTTTTGGAAGATAAAGTTGTTTCGAGTCAGGCAAACAATTTCACACGAATGTGACCTGATATATATGTTTCCTTCCGATGTCTATATGTCTCTTTTTATGTGAAAAGTGAAACCGGTGACATGTGATACTCAAATAATGCCGCAAAAACCGACCTTCCCGGAACTGCCTAAAAAAATTTCTTCCTTGCTGCCTGGTTTCACTGCAGGACCACGGAAGCATTGGCGAAAGGAGATTTGAAAAATAAAAATTTATTAGGTTGAACCGAAAGTTCGTTCGCATCATTTTCAAAAAATCATAACTTCTTTCCGTCACGACGATTTTGCGCCTTTCAAATTTTATTAGAAAGCGTAAAGCATGTAGTTTCCAAAAGTCCCCTGGCGACTTTCCAGTATGTTCAAATTGGAGAGATAAAAATGAAAAAATGAAAACATCCGAAATTAGGAATTTTTGAGAAACAATTCCAAAAATCTAGAAACTGCGCGATAAAATCCAGAAAAGCCATTATCCTAATTTTTCTTATATTTGATTACTAACTGAGTTAAGTTTGTGCTAATCGAGCTTTTCTTTCAAAAGTTATGATTTTTTGGAAAAAATGCCGAAAAATCGATTTCTTAGGCTTAGGAAAATAATTTTTCGGCATTTTTTTTCAAAAATTCATAACTCTTGAAAGAAAAGCTCGATTAACACAAACTTAACTCATTTAGTAATCAAATATAAGATAAATTAGGATAATGGCTTTTCTGGATTTTATCGCGCAGTTTCTAGATTTTTAGAATTTTTTCTCAAAAATTCCGAATTTCGGATGTTTTCGTTCTTTCATTTTTATCTCTCCAATCTGAATATGCTGGAAAGTCGCTAGGGGACTTTTGGAAATTACATGCTAACCGCTTTCTAATAAAACTTAAACTGCGCAAAATAGTCGTGATGGAAAGAAGTTATGATTTTTTGAAAATGGTGCGAACGAACTTTCGGTTCAACCTAATATAAAGCGCGTGATTAATCAAAGTGATTATTGCTTTAATATTCAAATTAGAATTAGTGGCAGCCCACCCAAAATATCAGCCTCTTAAAAAAAATTTCTGAAGGCGTGCCAGCGTACCCCCATAATTTGAAAAAAGAAAATTGTCGCGCTTCCTTTCCACCCCCATTCCCGCAGCGAAATTTCTCGGACCATTACTGTGTGAAGTCTGAAGAAGGAACGCCTCATTTCAAATCACACTTCCTTTTAGCATTGTTGTCTTTGCTGCGTTTAAGCAGCTTACAACAACGCATAATACCGTACAATCTCCTCCTTATCCTCACGTGTATGATACGATGATTTGTGTAATTCATGATTCAATTAGGCTAATCTCAGTCATCACAGCATTATATCTATCATCACAGTGTATCGCTGAAGTCCTTCATCTTTTCACCACTCAGCGTGCCTTTGTCGCACAAGTTAGTAGCAGTGTGAACATGTTTTCGAATCAAGATGGAAGTAAAAACAATGATCATAGCAAGGCATACAATTTAAAATATAGAAAATGATGTAGCGGAGGGCTGAGCTAACACAGACCAAGAGGTTAGAATCGAGTATCCACGTATACCAGCAATCTACGCTTTCGATATTTTATTAGATTTTCCCATCTTGACCCCAAAAACCCCAAAAGCTTCTTCAGAAATTCAAAAACGATTCGATTTCTATTGTATTTTCATCCATATTAAATGCATTTTTGTTATGCATAATAGAATTTTACTACTATAAAAAAATAAATTCTTTTGAAAATCATGTTATTCAACGTCTGATGATCATGAAATTTTTCAGTAGGGCAAACAAACATGTAAATTATTGTGCCTTTAGCGCTTTTGTCGAAAATAGAAAAAACACGATTTGAGTGTTTTTCTTCGACAGCTTGCATTACCGAGGTCTCCCAACTCAACGTGGTTTCTTGCATTTAGCACCACAGGAAAACTGATTATTCGCTCTCACCAATAAAAAATGTAGGAGCTTACGAATAAAAACTTCGTTGCAAGACTTACGACAACCTGAGTATAGTTACAGTAATCTAAATTCCATAAAAACTTATCAAAGTTAGCATCTCTAAAGCGCTTTCTTTAACAAAAATAACTTTCACACTTCTTCCTTTTGGAAAAGGAGTTGTTGCACTGTTTTTGAGTGTTGCCAAAGGATCTATCTTCACTGCAGCGAATAATGTACTTGGAAAATTCACTCGAGAGAATACAACATGGCTCAATAACTCCTAGGCCGGAGACATACTGGCTGGGGCACGTAGCAACAACGATGAATACTAGTGTACTCTGATGGTGTTCAGGTTCTTGAGATAGGAAGAGAGATGATTTGTTACATCGACATCGAATCAAAAAAATTAACTCAATTCAAATTAATTATTGATTAATTGATTAAATTAATTTGATTCTGGCTTGGGAGAAGTAATTTCGCTTGAATTCGCTCTTGCTCTCCGTCGTTCAGACAGCCAGCAACGAGAACGACTGGGCCCGAAGCCTCAGAAAAAAAGTTTTTTTTGAAAAAACCGGCAAGATCTGCTTTACGGGCGGTTATACGAATATGATAAAGGTAGTACAATATCCGCTCCCATGCAAACAGGAGGACGTCCAGCAGAAATGTATTTTTTCCGTTTCCAAGATTTTCAACTCATAGAATTGTCATCTGACACCTTCCCTCTCTTGAAACTGAAAACCAGGAGGGCTGTCAAGATCGCACGGATGTATTTGATTATCGTTCTTTTACCGCAATCCTAGGCTCCAAACCGAAAAACGAGCATGCACATTCCCTAGCAAATGCATTCATTGCATTATAAACGACGTACGTTCTTCGGATCTGAAGAACGACCGCCTCAACAAGTTACCTATTACCATCACCTTACACTGAGATATAGAATTGGGAATAATTCCGAAAAACTACCCAATTTGCAATTTGTAGCAAAATTTCTATGACGATGAAACTGCTAATCGTCCCGTGGGCACACGGCTCATCTAGTATGACAAATGTAATTCCATGCTGCTCATTAAAACACTGATCAAGAAAGCCGCCTTATGCTCATATCAAACAAAAAGTGGTTGAAAGGCTCTATAGCTATTCCTGAAATATGAAATGGCACGTCTTCTAATGACGTCCTACGCCAAAACCGAGCCCATTGGTCAAGAAAACGGAGATATTGGAGAGAAAGGTGAAATAAATTGCTACCATAGGTTGTCAGTATGACAAGATAAGTAGCGCGGCGATTACATCTAGAATAGAAAATGAACATGAAACATTTGTTGCGAGACATTCTTCTGGCTAAATAAATAGAATACAATCCTATCCTTCTTTTTTTATTGGACTAAAGGACTACTCAACTTGTTTTAGTTTCAAAACACAATTTCCAGCGCATCATAGGTGGAATCACATTCGCATATTATGCCCACACTTATTAATGAGCGAAACAAAGCAATTACGTAGACTCTGTTGACTCAGCGAGTAGAGTTGTCTATCAGTTTCTTGGAAGCTAAAAACTACGGAAAAAACTCACAGCTGTGAAGCAGAGCTGTCCAGATTCACTTTGTAAGACATACCAGTTTCCACATCATAATGGCACACAGCAAAACGGTGCTTGATTTGATCTCGTAGCACTTTTTCAAGGTATGGTGAGGCTATGGAATCTGATATGCACAGGTAACTGAGACCATTGGAACAGTTAAACGAGCATAAGCAGCTCACTGTTGCCACCATAATACACAGTAATATTAGAGAAGATATCATTCGCCTGAAACATTCGAGACTACTTGAGGCGTAATTGAATTGGGCAGAGCCTGGGAGAAAGAAGAGCAGAATTTCAATTCTGCAAGATAAGCTAAGAAGTTTAGGTAGCCTCTTGCATACTGCGATAGAATAAGAAGTTATGAGCAATCTCGTTGAATATTCTAGGTGTAGCCAGCAGAACAAAGTCAAGACAGGATTGCAACCAGGAATGAAGAAAAAAGATGCGAGCATGTTTAATGCAGACGGATATGCAAAACACCGAGCGTGCTTTTCGGCGATAAATTGATGTAGAAAGCGGATTACACGGATTCATCCTCAAAAACGAAGTGCATTTGCACTCGTAGTGATGGAGGGTATGGAATAAGAAAGGGAGGCGGTATCGTGTCGGCCAGGAAAATCATCCCAATCTCGATCAGACCGAATCGAGTAGCTCGTTGTTTTGAGTAAATTGCTTGGTCGGTCTTTGTTGACACACGCACTGACATGTTAACTGACTGCAGCAAGCTCATTTGAACAATTGCGAGTTTCACCGAGAAAACACCGCAATCGGAGTGGGAGGCGGGGGGGGGGGGGGTAATGCTATTTCGATGTGTACGTCTAAAAGTCACTCAACAATGTCTCAGCATAACGCGATTCACACAGATGAGCCGCTCACTAATGCTATCCCGTACGTGCCAAAACGGGTCTAATCAGAAATAAATAGTGTTGCAACGCCGGCACCATCCATTTTATTGCGTTGCTCGAGTAGGCAGAAGAGATCGATGCAAGGTTTATCTGCGCAAAAAGTACGAAGTCCTGCTTTTTGAAAAATTGGACCACCCGGTCACGAGGACTACGAGTGCTGAACCGCTTACATACGAATGGAACACGACCACCGCTGCCAAGGGAATGTTGCATTGGCCATGCGTAGGAGTTATCTTTGCCTTCAATCTGAATTTCTTCATATGTGCCACGTGATGAGAATGTTCATGGAATTGAGATCCTCTACATCAGTTACAAGGAAAACAGTGCGTTCAATCATGTCCAAAAGATTGATGAGACGCAAATGTGTAGAGTTTTTTTGAAGAGTGCAATTTGCTGAACTAGCATGGCTGTATTGCTTATTTTTGTAAATTTACATGCGTCTAGAATATCACAGACCACCAAATGTTGCTGCGCCTATCATCAAGAACGTCATTGGTCGTATACGACCGAGAATGGATGGCATTGCATAATTAGAGAGTACAGAGCAGAGAGCTGTCGTCTACATGGTAGAGAATTTAGATATTGCCTTTGGCCGTTTTAAGCAGCCAGCCTGTGTCTACTTTTTCTACCATTTTTTTGTCGTGTAATTTTTTTTGCATCTGCTAGTCTACCTAACAGCTACAATTGCTGTAATCCGGATGCCTCGGTTATCGTATTAATCGTCAGCTGTCTAAGTTACAATCATCTTTGTGGAATCTCTTTTACAAGTGATTCCATACACGTAGGCTGTCTGTGATCTCATTGTCAAAGCACGCTCTTTAGACACCGTTGATTTCCATTATATTAGGTTGTCCCGAAAGTTTTGTCGGTTTCTTCAAACCGCTATAAAACTATGCACAATAAAGAACTGAATGAGTTTCAACATGCATTCGATGCAGCTTTTCCTTCTTTCTTAAGTCTACATTTCCAAGCCAGAATTCTGTATGCTTTCTTTGATAATTGTTACAATTCTTCACCCGTCATTTTTATCTGCTCAAAGTTAGGCTAATTTTTGAAAATTTCATTCCAAAGTTCCGGAGGTGGTTAAGTATGGCTCAAATAGAACAATTCTCGAACTACAAGGTGAGAATTTTAGATTCTCCTAACCTGCTGTTTTTAGCTTCAAAAAATTATTTCTTCGGAGATCTTGATTTTTGGCAAAGTCATGAAACACGCAATTGCAGCAAAAACAAGAAAGCTTTTAAGATTTCTGCCATTGAAACTTGATTGCTGATAAACAATGATTATGCGACATAATCAAATTTGATTTGCTTTGAAAAATCAGCTTGTTGGAATTTTCGGTAACTTTACGTGGTAGGCGTGCTCTGACAGCCGCGGTTTTTCTTAAATAAGTAATTATAACTGACTTGATAAACGTGGCCCTTGTGATCTAAAATAAGCACAATGTAGCCAAAGATTTGCTCTGCATAAACGTTACTACCGCTCTTTGAAAACATCAGGATAAGAATTTTTCAAATTCAGAAAGGATTTAGCGTCACTGCTGAACTGGCCATAAAGCCATGGCGGTAACATGGCAAAGACAGGGTAGGTCAGAGAGCAAATATAGCTGTAAGAAAGAGGATTGAAATCTGAATCAAATGATACCTAGATCGTCCATGGATTAGTGTTCTGTGGGTTTTAGTGAGCGCTGAAAAAAACCGACAAAACTTTCGGGACAACCTAATATTATGATTTACCATGCCAGTCGATCAAAGCCTTATATTTCTTCAATCTCATCAAGGAGCTTCTTGACTGTCCATAATATCCAACAAGTTTCGCTAGGTCCTCGCAACAACTCCACCTTCGTGTGATCAGAAACCTCTGTGGACAATAATAGCTTTTACCAAGTGTACGATTTTATTGATACATACAGAAATATGTATCAAGAAACGCAAGTTTTATGTTATCTATTCCTTTAATCTGTTAGGCTGTCCGGAATTTAATGTCCGTTTTGCCTTAGCTTTGAAGCCTCAGTAAGAACCAACGAATTTCTGCCAACGCGATACCAATTTACTTAATCCAGCAGCATGAAAATCTGGAGCTCTGGAGGCGATAAATTGCAGAAAAGCATTTTCTGCATCCTCCTTTTCCTTAAAAATTTTCTTCTGGAAGATGTTGTCGATATGCTTGAAAAAATGATAATCTGTAGGTGATAGGTCTGATGAGTAAGGAGGATGAGGTAGGGTATCATATCCTAATTCGTTCAGTTGTAGGGTCAAACTTCCAACGTGTGGTCTGGCATTGTCATACAAAAGTATAGGCACTTTCCTATTCACCAGAGCCGGACGTATTTTCTTGAGTTTCTTGTGCATCTCGTCGAGTTCCTTGCACACCCGGTTCCGAAAAGTTATAGTGGATGATACCGTCAATAGACCACCAAACAGTGACCATTACTTTCCTCGAATGCAGCTTAGGTTTAGGAAACGGCCTAGGTGGCTCATCTTTGTCCAGCCACTGCGCAGATCTTCTTCTGTTAAAGTATAAGATCCACTTCCCTCGCAGGTCACAATTCGATCAAGAAAAGGATAATTTTTGTTGCGCAAAAGCAGTGCAGAGCAAATCTCATATCGGCGGTTCTCCTGACTAGGAGTCAATTCGTGGGGTACCTATGTCCATTTTTTTCACTTTGCTGATTTTACTCAAATGCTGTGCAACCGTGCTATGACCAACACCTAAGTCCTCCGCAATTTCTGGCACTGTCTTATGGGGGTCGTATTCTGCCGCGGCCTTCAGCTGATCGTCATAGAGAAGAGACGGTCGTCCACGAACTTCTTCATCTTCAAGATTATTATCACCATCCTTAAATTTTGTGAACCAGCGTCGCACTCCGTTCGCTAACACTACCTTCGCCCCACACGGTGTTGATGTTCCGAGCCGTCTCGTCTGTAGTGCGACCAAGGGAGAAATCGTAGTAATAGATCAGTCGAAAGTCTTGTTTCAACATGTTTATTCGAGAACTTGAATCTTCAGAAGAGCCTCATAGGTGTCTGAAAGAAATAGGTGTGATGAAACAGCAAATACTTAGCTTTGAAATGGTTCATAGCTTGTTAATCAAAACTTCAGATTATTTCAAACAATTCGACGAAACTTACAAGGAGGATCGGACATTAATTTCCGGACAACCTAATATAACCACGACTAACCTTAACATATCGCTTCAATACCAGCGACAAGTCTTTTTTGAGGCGCACGTCTATGAGCTCATGAAAACCCAAATGAGCTGCAAAGCCTAATAATCATTATTGTGTTTTTGCCGGAAGCTAATAAATTTCGAAGCGTTTTCCATATATCTACAATCCCAGCTTTGGACCAAAGCTTACTCAGCAAAATAATGGTCATGGCATTTTGTTGGGTTGTGCAATAAGTCATATACCCATATTGAACTCATTTCTTTTGATATCAGTAATTTTCCAGTGTCTGGCAAAATGTAGGCATCATAGAGGTATTCTACGAAACATGTTATGAAATCTCCTGCTACATTGTTCAAAGACAAAAAACCGATTTTTGGGCCTACAAAGGGAAGAGAAACGAGAATGTGAAAAAATTTGGCATTGTTGCTTCATTTTACGTGCTTCGTGCTTTTGATTTGTGTAAACTTTCGAAATTTGCGACCAAAGAAAATAGCAAACTCAAAGACATTTAGTTACTGTCACTCTTCACTTAGTGCTGCACTCTCCACAGCAAGTGTTTGATGGCATTTACACAAATGTCAGCATGATTTTTATGAACGCGTTCCGTGTTTCGCCCACTTACTTTATGTCCACCATCGCCTCAAATTTTTCTGAAACTCATGTACGAGGTTTTTCTGGCATTTCTCGTACTGCTTATCGGCCACCTTACTTCGAGAATGCCTTCAGGTGGTCGTCATTAACGGACAGACTTTCGAGGACAGATGTGTCTTTGGACTCATTATAATTTTCGGAATTTTGTAGCGCAAATCTGGAGCAACTATCCGAGCGATGTACATCACAAACGGTTTGGACAGTAACAGGAGTTGTCGATGGGCTCCCATTCATCACACAGTCTTGCACAACCTAATGCCATGGATAAGTGCTGTATTAATGTGAATCCAGCTATTCAGCAGAAATTCCTTTTGAAAGAGTAGCATTTCTGATGGAGAGAAGTAGCCCAAAGAGGGTAACCGTTGGGTAGATCCGCGAGATTCGGATGAGATGAGAGATGCGAGATGAGAGATTCCCATGTAAGGAATAACTTCTGTTTATTCTTGCGACAGATGCAGCTATGATGAAGTCGTGTAACTTAATTCCGCCTCAAAAGTGTGTATTACATATTCACTTGAGCTTGCAGTATTGAAGAATCGATCTTTTCCATTGCTGTGAGATTACAAAGAAACATGCAAATGGCTTCTCTAAAAGGCAGCGTCCGGGCAAAATCTCGAATAAAATTTTTTTCGCTTACCTGGCCTTATTCTTCCCGTTGATTCCGAAAATGCAGTTTGCAGAGAACGAAGATGTCGAAAAAGGACTTTTCCAAAAGCAGTTGATTTTGAATAATGACGCTTGCCGCCGAGGTTAAGACGGAGAGTCGCGTGCTCGACATACGTACTCTGGCTATCGATTGAAGGGGCGGGCATGTCGCCGGGGCGGTCCTGTCGCCACTTCTGAAGCGGTTTTCTCGCTTCAAAAGCAAAGTGGGGCAATGCCACTTTGGCAAGAGCTCCACCAGGCCGTGAACCCCTGTACGCTACAGTTTCGTTTTTGCCCGGACGCTGCCTTTAAGAAAGTTCCAAGTATGCTGGGGTGAAGGAGAGGGGTGGGGAGGGAGCCAACATGAACTATAGCTTGTGCCAGTCATATGCGTTGCAAGGTCAAATCTTTTTCAATTTCTATATTTATGCTATGATGATATTTCAGGAATTTGGAAAAAACGCTGTGTGCTCGGCATGTCATGATTTCTGTTATTCGGCACCATTCTCCATCTAGTGAAGAACAAATCGCTTCAAAAATACGACTTTATGCGCGACATATTGACCGCAAGAGTGGAGTATGCTCATTTTCACCATCATTCATCTCGGAAATACCAGACATGCTGAAAAATCTATCACTTTCTCAACTAACTTACCACACGTGTGAATGGCAAAAATCCGACAAATTCACATAGCCCCTTTACTTAGTTTTTAGCTTTTGCCAAATAATTGTTAAATAGCGGCTTAAACATAATGATGTTGATGTGCAGGTAATGTTACAGTAGTGAAGAGCGGTTGCTGATCTGCAAATCCTGAAGAGCGACATATATGCAGACAAGTGCGAGTGCCTCCACAACTAAATTTGGTCAAAAACTGCCCAGCCGTAACAAAACGATCCTTTGCTGGTTGCTGTTAATCATCAGGTTCTTGATCCCTAATGGGATGCCAAGGCAATAAAATGTAACTTTTGAATAAGGGCTACAAAAGTTTAATGTAGTTTAATGTCTTTACAAATGTAAAGACTCTTACTGGAAGCTCACATTCAGTCAGTGCTCGTAGAGCTCAATATACTACGCCAACATTTTTCTTGGCCCGCAAGATACGAATAACATAACCTTCAGAAACAAAAGGCTTGCAAGGTTTCGGAATTATTTATTTATTTATTTATTTATTTACATACAAAGGTGCACCAAACGAAAATCAGTCAAATAAAAGTCAAGTCCCCTGCTGGAGTCTTCATTTCGTTTTCCTTCTTCAGTAGGTGAGAAATCCGCTACCGAAATCCTTTTCCCTTACCCAAACGCGGATATAGAACGAAACTACCAGAGCTTGGCTGACCAACTTAACTCAAGAAGGACGAATCCGTCAAAGACCCTGGGCCAATGGGAGGGGGGGGGGAGGATCTCAGGGAAGCGGGCTCGCCAACTTCGGAGTCCCTCAAACGGCTAGTCCATACGAAGAGACTGCTACTGCGGTGCTGATAATATATTAGTGGGAAAAGCACAAAAAATCCTGAAAAGATGCAAAAAAAATACGCACAAGAAGGCGTACCAATAACTTTAAAGCTGCAAAGAAAATCATAAAAACAATTTCAAAGATGACGGAGTATGGCATCTACTGAACGTCAGAAACTCCCAAAGTTCCTAAAATCGATAGAGGCTAATTTTCTGCGGAATTTAGGTGAGGTATTGCAAGCGATAATCTCTTTTGGTAGTAGCTCGAGCCACAGGGCAGTTCGACATACAAAGGAATTAAAAGCGAGTGAAAATTTCTTTTACCTAATTTTCGATACCTAACCCGAAAGCTCCTGTCCGAGTTCCGCAAGGTCTGAATACCCAATGATTACTGGGCCTTAGCCTCCTTTCCAGTTTCAGAATGCGAAAACAGAAGACCAGGTCATTGAGGACCCGCCTGTACTTTAGGCTGCGCAGCCCTAAGACCGCGAGCCTTCATCTGTATGAGGGTAATGAGTGAGGGAAATCAGGCCTTGGATAATCTGTAATAAACGATTCTGGTAAATGTTTTTGTACCCTTTCCAATTTTTCAATGTTTCTCTTGAGATGGGGATACCAAACTGGAGAAGCATATTCTAGAATGTAAAACGTAGTTCTTGTAAATCCGGACTGGAGAAATGGGTCATTGCGATGAACGCTTCTCAAAATGACAAAAAAAATTGATAGTGCTTTTCTAATTGAGTCATAGTGAGTGGTGAAGTTGAGCTGGTAGTCACTGAAAACTCTTAAGTCTTTGATTAACACTGCAGAGCTCCAGCTCCACACCATCACAGAGGTAGATAAGTGCGCGGATGGAAGTTGCCAAGATGCATAACTTTGAATTTGTGTGCATTTACAGGTAGATCCAGGGCCCGGCGGGGGTGGCGCTTTCACAAGCTGGATATCGTTTTTGGCCCGAAAAAGCAAAGGGGGACCCCAAAATAAGACTTCCCCTTTGTTTACCGATAAACAATGCACATATCATTCTTTATTCATCATTCCTTGTTGATGCTACTGTCCTATGAACTTAGATTCCAGCAATGTGAAGATTCTGTGCTCCGATCGCTAGCCTGCCCGCAGGCGGGAATTCAAATCGCAATTCTTGTAAGAGGAAAATAACAAAATAGGCTCGTTTTCAATGCACAAGTAACGATATGGCACCAAATTTGCCGTATAGTTGGAGGACCATGAGCACAAAAAAAGTATGAAGAATTATGGGAAACTCATGTGAATTTAAAGAATGCTGTTTTTCGAAATTAGGTGGCTCCCGCGCCACTTGGGAGCTACCTGGGGTGGCTCCCTGCTTCCCTTCACATAATTTCTCGAATTTCTTTACATAAATGTGGACTAGGTCGAGAGTATTATTATATTTTCAAATCCGCTTCCAAAACCACCAAGGCACCGCTTCGATACAGCCCCAAATAGGGTTCACAGCGTTATGATCGGCCTCGGAAAGCGCGCTCCAATCACAATCGGTTAATGTAAATTGTAAAGTTTCGCAGCTGACTAATAAATGAGTAGTATCTTAGATATATAAACGTCAAAGTTTGTGCAAATTTTGACCCTATGTTTTTTTTTATAGATTCCTTTGCGGATGAACCCATTGAGCTGAAACCTTGAAAACATATGTTTTCGGCCTCGGTAGATGGTTTTAAGCTACCCTTCGAAGCAATTCCTGAAATTCTTCTATCGATTTGATGTTTTGGCACCTTGCAAGGAAAGTGAACACTTACCAGCCGCTAACAAACTGCTTGCACATTTTGGTGTGAACAATGCAGTGGAATTCATTTCCACTTTAAAATTAGAAAGTGCAGTCACTCCAATAAGCCTTTCTGGGGTAAGCTCGTGCAGGAGCGGTAAGGGGGAGGGTTGCAGTGCAGTATTGATACTGCAGAAAAGGGGTGGAGAATATGGCCCAAAAGGACGGGAAGCTAGAAGGACAAACTGTGGTCTTTGGCCATCCCCTCAAACGATGACCCGGGCTGGACCAGGAAAGCCAGGTAGTACTACTATAATAAGCGCTGAGGCCGCCCATCTTATTATTTGTGTATATCTGCTTGTCAGGGACTTACGGGGGTCAAAAATAGGGTCAAAGGGGAAGTCGTAAGAAATTTTGGCTTCAAAGGGGATATCGTTTTCAAAATTCTGAAATGCCATTTTGCCGGGCCCTGGGTAGATCCCACTCTATGGACCAGACAGTCATTTTTTTGTATGGAATTAGAAATTGCTTCACAGGCCATATTTTCTTTGTCCTCTTCATAGCAAAAATGGATTTTAATGTCGTCCGCAAAAACCTGCACTTCTATATCTAGATGGGTCTTCAGAATTCTTGCCAAATCTGCTGTGTAAGTGAAAAATAGGTGAGGAGAAAGTATCCCTCCTTGCGGTACACCACTACTGCAGTGGAAACGTTTAGAAAAGCTACTTCCAACCCGCACCGTAATATCTCTGTTCTGAAGGTAAGATGAGAGCCAGTTCAACAGTTGTTGATCCATTCCGTAATCAGCTAGTTTGGAAAGTAACTTTGAATGATTCACTCTGTCAAAGGCTTTCGAGAGGTCAAAAAATACCATATCACTTGACTTTCCTTGGTTTAACGCATTTGTCCAATCAAAAACATCAGAAAGTAAAGCCGTAGTTGATCGTCTTGGAAGGAGCCCATGCTGAACAGAAAGAATAATTTTGAGTGTATCCAACCATTAAGAAAGCTTTTCCTTTATGAATTTCTCGAGAATCTTATCACAAGGTGCAGTAATACTATTAGGATGGTAATCTGAAAGGCAATTGGTTACTCGCGCTTTGGTATAGCCGTTACTAGGGCTTCCTTCCATATTTAAGGAAATTTCCCAGTAGAGAGGCGTTGAAAATAAGACACAAGGGACTTGCCGAAGATCGTTGTATGCGGCAGAGCTTGTTGGTTTTATTTTTTTCATAATGTTATAAACTTTGTCGGGTTCAAAAAACAGTTTACTAGCATTTAACTGGAGTTCGGTGTCAAGATTGGGGATGTTATCATCGACAAAATCAGTTCAGGCAAAAAACTTCCAAGCGCTTCTGCTTTTTCCTTGTCGCTCACATATACATTTCCTTGTTCTTCTTTCAAAAAGGTAATTTTCTGCTTTCCCTTGGGCTTTTTGCTCAAGTAAATTTCGGATGTGATTTGGATAATGGACACAGTACGGTTCAAAACGGAAAGGCACATGCTCAGAGAGAATACGATATAGTAATTTGTAGAATCGGTAGTAAATATCATCAACGATTCGTATTTATCAAATACATTGTACCAGTTGATATCCTGCGAAGCGTTGTTAATTTTGGAGAAATCGGCTTTACGGAAATCGGGATATGGGAGAAAACTGTTTTTACACATTATTTTTATGTAGAGCGGCATAAATATCTAAAATAAACGTGTTTATCAAATGGTGTATTTGGAAGTAACTCAGTGGAACTGTACGAATTTTATTAAGTAAATTTTGTTATAACGTACAGCGAAAAAAAGTAGTTCATCCAGGGAGTAACCGCCGAGAACCAGAATCTTATATATAAAGCTGAATGTCTGTTTGTCTGTCTGTCTGTCTGTCTGTCTGTCTGTATGTATGTATGTCTGTACGTATGTTCCGAATAGAAAATTCCATTTCTGAACCGATCCGGACCAAACTTGGCACACATACACTTCGGGCCCCGGCGGGTGTCATAGGCTACTTTTCGTCATCGATCGATATCGATTTTATCGATTTTTATCGATTTTTTTGCTGAGTTCACCTACGGTGCTGGGAGTTGGCACAGGGGGGTAATCGAGCATGGGGATTCCGAATACAATATTGGTTTTCAGGATTATCGATTACTTTTATCGATTTTATCGATTTTTTTGCAAAGTTTGAGCTACGGGGCTGGGAGTTCGCACAGGGGGGTAATCGAGCATGGGGATTCCGAATACAATATTGGTTTTCAGGATTATCGATTACTTTTATCGATTTTATCGATTTTTTTGCAAAGTTTGAGCTACGGGGCTGGGAGTTCGCACAGGGGGGTAATCGAGCATGGGGATTCCGAATACAATATTGGTTTTCAGGATTATCGATTACTTTTATCGATTTTATCGATTTTTTTTTTGCAAATTTTGAGCTACGGGGCTGGGAGTTCGCACAGGGGGGTAATCGAGCATGGGGATTCCGAATACAATATTGGTTTTCGGGATTATCGATTACTTTTATCGATTTTATCGATTTTTTTGCAAAGTTTGAGCTAGGGGGCTGGGAGTTGGCACAGGGGGGTAATCGAGCATGGGGATTCCGAATACAATATTGGTTTTCGGGATTATCGATTACTTTTATCGATTTTATCGATTTTTTTGCAAAGTTTGAGCTAGGGGGCTGGGAGTTGGCACAGGGGGGTAATTGAGCATGCTGATCACCCCCCTTGGGGATGATCAGCATGCTCAATTACACCCCTGTGCCAAATTCCAGCCCCGTAGCTCAAACTTTGCAAAAAAATCGATAAAATCGATAAAAGTAATGGACGATCTTGAAAACTAATATTGTGTTCGTAATCAGCATGCTCGATTACCCCCCTGTGCAAAATCCCAGCCTCGCATGTCAAAATTTACAAAAAAATCGATAAAATCAATAAAAGTAATCGATAATTCTGAAAACTAATATTGTATTCGGAAACCCCATGCTCACTTCCCCCCTGTGCCAACTCCTAGCCCTGTAGGTGAACTCTGCAAAAAAATTGATAAAAATCGGTAAAATCGACATCGATCGATAACGAAAAGTGGACTGTGACACCCGCCGGGGCCCGAAGTGTATGTGTGCCAAGTTTGGTCCGGATACGGCGGAGCCGGGTAAGCCAGCTAGTTTTATATAATAAAATAGCGAAAAACCATGAGAAAGTTCCACTGTTATAAATCTGCTGTTTAAGGATGTCAGCAATTGCGACTTCATAGGTTTTCAAAAGTAAGTGCACTTCAATACATAATGAAAGAATCAAGTGGATTCGGGAGATGGTCGCCGAAAACCAGAATTCTAAAAAATTACGCCATTTTAGCTTGTTTAGTGACAGTTAAACTCATATTAATCTTAAATTTGAAGGTTTGTGATGTTGCGACTTCATAGTTTTATAGAGTAAGGTTTGCCTTATCAAAATGTACCTTAGCCGTTTCGATCCGTTCAAACACCGCCGAGTGCCAGACTCTTGAAAAAGCAGGTAAAAAAGCGCTTTTCAAAATTCAATAGCTCGTAACTTCTTCAGAATTGCATGAATCATGTTGCGACTGCATAGGTTAGATTCTTCTCATCCTTTCAGAGCAACATGTGGGGGGTTTTGTGCCTACTGCGGCTTATGCCCGGGGGAGTGGGGCGAGAGACTTTTCATCACTAATTCTCCTCTGGCGGCCTACAGCCAATACATTGAAGTGGGCGAGGGGAGAATTAGTTATGAAAAGTCTCCCCTCCCCCCCCCCCGGGCATAAGCCGCAGTAGTCACAAAACCCCCACATGTTATATATCATCTGAAAGCTCTTGATGAGAAGAAAACCTATGAAGTCGCAACATGATTCATGCAATTTCGAAGAAGTTATGAGCTGTTGAATTTTGAAAACCGCTTTTTTCCTGCTTTTCAAGAGTATGGCTCTCGGCGGTGTTTAAACGGATCGATACGGCTAAGGTACATTCTGATAGGGCAAACCTTACTCTATAAAACCTATCAAGTCGCAACATCACAAACCTTCACATTAAGATTTATATAAGTTTAACACTTCTCTCCTCATCCTTCCCGCAAACGGTAGGCTAGCTCTTAGCTCTGACTTCTATCATCTACCAAGGATATGACCAAGAAGACAAGGTGGAAGAAACCGTGGCTGGTCCACTGCGTCTACGAGAAGTCATGGACAGCGCAACGTCACGAATGCACTGATTGGCACCGGCAAGAATTTTCTTGTCGACGAAGACGATCGAAGTCGAAATTGCCCAACTCAAGCCATAAACGGGACCATTGCGGTACGAACTGTATATAACCGCTGAGGATGAATAAATGTATGTATATATGTATGAATGTATGAGTTTAACTGTCAACTGTCACTAAACAAGCTAAAATGGCTTAATTTTTTAGAGCTCTGGTTTTCAGCGACCATCTCTCAAATCGTCTTGATTCTTTCACTATGTATTAAAGGTGCACTTACTTTTGAAAACCTATGAAGTCGCAACTGCTGACATCCTTAAACTCCAGATTCATAACAGTGAAAATTTCTCATGATTTTTCGCTATTTTATTATTAATAATTCTGGTTCTCGGCGGTTACTCCTTGGATCGACCTACTTTTTTTGCTATACGTTATAACAAAATTTACTTAATGAAATTCGTACAGTTCCGCTGAGTTTTACTTCCAAATGCACCATTTGATAAACACGTTTATTTCAGATATTCATGCCTTTGACATAGAGATATGCTTTATGATCTCCTTGCATTTGTTATACTTATTTTCCTTCTTCCATCCAGCAAAAAAATTTTCAAAACCCAAAAGTGAAGGTGGTCACCAGGGCTCGGCACGAGGTGGCTAGATGAAAATGGAAAAAACGAAGTCCCTCTTGACTTTTGGGAATTTTTACGAAGTCCCCTTTGACCCTCAACCAAATTTCCTCTAAAAACCTGAAAAATTCCCCAAAATCCCCCAAAAAACGAAACGTCGACTAAAAAAACGTCGCCAATTTTGCCTCTCTCTTCGGTCACAAAAACGAAACCCCCCTTTGCTTTTCGTCCCAAAAACGATATCCAGCTTGCTTGTAAGCCACCTCGTGCCGAGCCCTGGTGGTCACCCTGTACTAGCTCAAAAGTGAAGGTAGGGGGAGAATCGGCTTCCACTAACGCATGTCTGGCTTCGACGCTTTCCCCCTCCCCACAGCCTAGAAGTCGAAGTCACAAAACAAGAAAACACAAAATTTACCTGGAAGTTCCTTTGCGGCAACTGTTCTCGCGTAAGTAGTGCCGCGTTGCAGGCGCACTATGTTTGCTGGGACTACTCGATTACGATGGTTATCTTGTATTACCATGATTCTTAGTTTTTCTTCCCTAAACAATTTTACAACCGTCCTCTTTGTGCGGGAGAGTTCATTTTGATTCCCTTCTTATTAACTGAAACCCACTTATTCGGGTAAGCACGAGGAAGCGCTGGAAAGCGCAGGACTGCAGCACATCTCAGAGAACCACTTTAAATGCGCAGGACATGGTGTAAAACGGCCTAACTAGATGTTGCAGGTTCAAAAACCTAGGAAGCTCACTGCACTAGAAACAGGTTCGTGTATGACGTGGGAAACACTCGGCATGGCGATTCATGTTCTTCGGCTTCTACGCGACTATATGCAGGGTGTCTCAAAAGTATGTATACACTGTTTGATCGTTAATATCTCTTCCCAAGGAGTCCTTTACCTAACTTAAAGGCACCATCCACCCAAAATTTCGACCTCCATGTTTTTGCTGTTCCAGGGCCTTCTCGTACTCCTGATTCCGAATATCAAGTCGGAAATCCGCGAAACCTACGAAAAACTCCCGTTTTCAGAACGCGCAGAGCGATTTCTTTAGAACGGTGATTGGTTGGGCGCGCACCCAACCGTTGGGGGGGGGGGGGACAAACGTCACGTCCACTCAAAGGGGAGGAGCCAACGTGGCGAATCTGTCATCCGAGCGATTTTCGGAGCAATTTTCTCGCTTCGGAAGCAATTTAGGCAGCTCGAGTTGGGCAGTCATACAGTTGGGGGCCCCGCAGCTGCTAGGTATCATAATCTCCCCAACCCCAATTTGGGCGGGCGGTGCCTTTAAAGGCACCTTCCACCCTAAGTTGAAGATGGTGAGCTTTTGGCGGCATATAATAGTAGGGCCCCCTATCAATCCACTTCCCAAGTCGCGGCGCAAAATGCCGCTTCAGAAGCGAGAAAATCGCCGGAATAACGAAGATGCACGAGGACCCCATCCATGCCCGCCCTCCCCCATCCATGCCCGCCCATTTGTGCGCGCCCATCCAATCACCGTTCTGGAAAGCCGGCCTGTAAGTTTTCCGGAATGGGGATTGTCGTGGTTTTCGCGGATTCTCGACTTCATACTTGAAATCAGGGACATGAAAAGGCCCTGAAACGACAAAAAGCTGGAAGTGGAAAATTTGGGTGGACGGTGCCTTCAAGGAGCTCTCTTTTGTAGAGCTGGCTTAAACTTAGATTCGCAGTATGCAGCGAACCACAGATCGCTTTGCTTACTGTAGCATTACGGTAGGAACTTCTGACTTACAGCGTCATTGTGGATTAGTCGTGTTTCAAAAAAGTTTCCAAAAATTCTGAAAATTGGTGTACCAGGGATTTCTAGCGCTCTGATTTTATTACTCAACTTTCTAGGAGTTTGCAAAGCTTTTGAGAGGATGTGACTGCAATTTTAAAATCATCGTAAAAACAGCTATTACGGTTTAGGGGCATAAGTCATGAAGGATGCATCGCGGTCAAGCACAAAGTTCATATTTGGTTTTAGCGACTTTGGTTAGCCTAGTGTAAGAGTTTCCAGATTGTTTTGATTGCATTTTAAGGTGAAATAGGGCTCTCAACGGCTCAAAACCCTTATGAAGTCCCTATCGTAATCCCACAGTAAGCAAGAGCGACCGATGGTTCGCTCCATTCTATAAATCTAAGTTGAAATGGTACCTGAAGGCACGCAAAAGACTTCTAGGGAAGAGAAATATTATTGATCAAACAGTGTATACATACTTTTGGGACACCCTGTATCTTGCAACGGAACGGGAACGTAGCAAGGAGTTTAGAAATTGCATGAACTTTCTCGTGATCCAAATGACTCAACAACTGAAAACTACAGTCAGTGTTTTCTCTTTCATAAATTTACTCTCATTTCCGCTAACACGTAGTGACAATGATCAAAGGCTAGATTTGAAGAAAATATTGGTAACAAGCAAGGAGCATGCATTTTCTCGATTGTTCTATGAAGGAATGCAGTTTTTAGGGATAGCTTGAGTTACGATAAATATTCTCGGATACTTCATTGGAGAAAGAAATAGTAAAGTACATTAGGTACATTAGTTCAATAGAATCATCTTGAATCATACATATTCTGCTTTTAGATTTTTAACATATTCCCACGGGAGGACGTTGTCGTAGAACGAATGAGCGGCCTCCTTCCTAGTTTCCGAACGATGACTGTTGACACTACTGTCCGTGATCCAGCTGAAAAAGTCCAGTCTGTCAGAACAATTTGATCACTGCGATGATTTCGTGCGCTATAATTCTGCAATGTTGTATCGAGAGGAATGATAACTGCTGACACCTAGCACAATATGGAGTAATATGACTTGAATGTGCACAGATTCAGCAGACATTTTTTGAGCAGATCCGGTGTACTTTGGTCCGAGGGCATTTCCGCGCTATTTGAGGGAGAGGGGGGGGGGGGATAATGGCAAAACCTTGCATATTGATTAACCTGGTGAGTTGCTCATATTTTGCTGATGAGTCTTATGCTAGAAAAAAATAGGATACATTCAAATCTCTTACGCCATTATCATTATAAATAAATGAATTTAACTAAAAAAATTCAGCTACTTCAAGTAAAACAACTTCAATGCATTACAATATTTCTGTACTAGATTTGAAGCTATCTTATACCTCTTGACTTTACATTTGCAACAATACGAAAACTCCTTAGTACTTCAACAATTTATCAGTTTTATGAAAAAAAACTACTTTTGTACGAAGAGTCCAAGAACACCTTTTTTGAGTTCAGATGTTCTCGGCCCGTTAAGAAATGTAAGCCGTACGATGCCGTCCCCTCCCGACCTTGTGCGTGCTTACAACTTTCAAATTGTACAGAATATTCTAAGCGCAGCATGAATGAAATGTCCTTGAAAAGAATGATGTGCAAATATCATTGCGATGACATTCCATTGAAGGGTCGTTTTTCTCGATGACGAAAATGCAAGTCGTACCGAACTGAAATTCCGCAAAAAATATCATTAGGAATGAAATATTGAAAGATGAAAAGCTGATGCATATTTTTGTAAATGACCTGCAAGTGAATTCTACATTTTAAATCACTAGGAATGAAATACTGAAAGATGAAAGGCTGATGCATATTTTTGTAAATGACTACGAGATTCCAACAAGTGAAGAACAGAGTGTTTTCTCACAGACTTCTTCTTCGCTCTGTCTTTAAATTTGAAGTGCTTCTACATTAGAAAACTCTCTTATATTCAATATAGGTTGTTTGACAGGACTGAATGTTAGAAGTAGGCAACATATCGGCACCAATTCTCACCAATCTTTTTAGTTTCCCGAACTCGCTAAACGGTTTCGGACCGATGAACAATGACTTGACTGGATGTCATTAGGTTACATTGACGTATAATCTCAAACTTCAAAGAGCATCCGCTTTCACCGTGATAAAGTGATAATTGTCATAGAAAGGATTACCTCGTTGCTAAACGACGATTTACAGTCATCGGCGCTTTTCTTTCGGAAAGAATCCAGAATACAAGTGCGGCTAGCGTAACAAATACGTTGTTAACGAGGAAAAGAGGGAAATATAGTTGTGAGAACGAGGACGGCGACTCACAATGGGCATAGCGTAATGCGTCGAGAAGCGCTGCTGAGACCTAAAAGAAAAACAAATCTCTGACATTAAATAGTCCTTCAGAACATTGCAGCTGTATAGCAACTAGTGCAAAGACTTCGCATTTATTGGAAAGGAAAGATAGATCTGCAGTAAGTTTGCGATTTTCTTCAAGACTTATACTATTAGGTTGAGGCTTGTCAATCTACCTGCAGAGATTTGGAAAAATCGCATGTAGTGTTTGTTCGGAAAAAATTTCACTCAATTGATCAGCACGACTAGCGCGAAAGTTCAAGGTTCATCCTCTTTAACGTACAAAAACTCACAAATGCAAGAAGAAATAGAAACAACAGAAAAGGCACGACGGCACGATGATTCATCGAATAGTTGAGAAGACAGTCCGCATGCACGAAAAAGATCTTCGAACTTGACAGAAAAGTGCGCCGCTGCCGATTTCTTCACCATAAAATGAAATCGAATTCGTCACTGCAATATCACATGGCTCACGTTTGCAACTATCAGAAGAAAATGTTTTGCAGCTAGCTGTGATCTTTCTAGAGAAAAATGATGGTAAGTTGCGATTAAGATCATAGCAAGAAGGGAAGAGAGACTCAGATAACTTCAGCACTAGACTTCGCTATACTTGATGTAGTCAACCGAACACGACCGCATTATGTCTGCGATCATTGGCGCAGCGTTGTCGGGGCAGCAATGGCAAGATGTGTAAGACGTTATGAGTACCTGGCAAATGGTTACCGGGTAAACGACTTGAGTGATAGAGGCCATTCGCTGCATCAATCATGTTCTCCAGCTAATCGTTCTTCCTTGGAGAAGCTGAACGATAGAGTCTTCTTTGAAGTACTTTACGATTTTTGCTGATCTTCAATTCTTATAATATTGGGTCCTTACATAAGTCTTGTTACACTTCAACTTCTTCCGGCCATAAGGCGATCACTTCATGTTTTTACCAGGCCCCACGGGTCCTGTTCGATAGAGTAAAGCAAGCTTTATAAGAAGATTTGCTAAAGCTCGCAACAGCCTCGACGCGAAGTAAGTTTGAAGCCAAAATCTAAGTCATATTGACTGCTCGAAAAATGAGAACAGAAATCATATCTTTGTTTATAAAAATCCTACGGATTTCCCACTTGTACAACCAGTTCTCCACACCAGACACTCATGTGTACCATTGCTGTATTTTTCCTTTAGCTAAAAATCGAGAAAACAAAAGTTTTCATGTTATAGAATAACGAAGCTATGCTGTTTCCACACAAGCAGATGTGTACTACAAGCCTTCAGAAGCGAAAATGTGAATTTTCAGCTTTCCACAAGGTTTAGTTTAGAAATATTGATTGTTGCATGAAACTCAGTGAGGAAAGCTAGATTTGATAATTTTCGACAACCAAAGCTTGAGGAAAGCTGACAATTTACCGTTATAGACCTAAAGGCTTGTAGTATACAATTACATATGTGCACAGCACAGCATCGTTTTTGTATAAATATGAAAATTTTCGTAGTGTCTGATGTGGAATGTAATTCGTGTGTGTAGATGGAAAATCCCTAGGATTATTTTCAACAAAGATATTAGTACGACTCAGCTTTTTGCTTTAAACTTGCGGTGGCTCGATGCTGGTGTGAGCTTTTGCACACCATCTTGTAGAGACTGTTTTGCTCTATCGAACGGTACCATGTATGAGTTATTTCCTTGAAAATTCAATGTGTAACAAGACTTACGTAAGAACCTAAGAACAGCTTTTTATTTCGTACAACCAACCAAAATGAAGATCGCAGATGCAGGAGATGGCTTTTTGGTGCTCTACGAAGAAATCCATACTAGCGCTTGCAACAACTGTTTCAAATCATGTTGAAAGGCCACAAATCGCACAATATATAACAAACAAATGAGAAGAAATTCGTATGCTTGCGGTGAAATACGAACATTAAGAATTACAGTCGCTCAATGAAACGGAGGAAGTTTTCGCCATTGTATGCTGACGAGGTGAATGTCTTTGATCTTTTGACTTTCTATCAGTAGTGCTGTCGATGGAATAAAAATGTACCTATAGTTATGTGGAATGATTTGCTTTTCATCAAAACAAAAGTTTCAAACCGTACTGTGGTATCAGTATATGTCCAGATTGAGTATTAAATTTTATTCATAATGTTTATTAATTGGATAATTTGATTCGAAAATAAGCCTTGTAAATTTCATCACTAGCAACATATTCGCGGTTCGCTGAAACTTCGACCCAAATTATTCACCACAGGGAAGATACTCCTAGACAGGTAAACATATGGTTAGCGTACCCAGAATGGGTATGCGCAAATGGCGGTTCTAGGCATTCTCACGAAAATACGAAACGACTGACTGAAATTATACTGTAAGCATCCATCCTATCCTTTGATAGGGCCGCATTTGCATTTACATTTGCAAATTTGCCTTTTGCATTTTTTAGGGCTGCCTCCCCACTGGGGATGGACAACACGCAGTTCATAAAGCTTCACATCCTGAAGTCAAGTTTTGGATTCAAGTGGTCTGACTCTCCGAAAGTGTTTACTACCCTTAACTATGAGTATATTGAACAGAAGCGAGAAATTGTACAGGCCATAATCACAGTTTTTTGTATGATCCCCATGATCCCGACGGCCGACCACCCCTTCTACGAAGTCATTCTTTCTTCGAAGTTAGTGAAAACATTGCAAACTTGTACTGATTTATCTAACCCACCAATGCTAAGTATGTTCCTGACAAGAACAAGTGATGTATCGACTCGAGTAGTGAAAATTTTGATAAATCACAAGTCGAAAGTTTGGGTTGAAATCTCAATATTTCAGCAACTCATTTCTTATCAGAAACATGCTTAGCACTGTTGGGTTGTTAGTAATAACAACTTTGGGATGTTTCCATAAACTACGAAGAAATTGACTTCGAAGAAGGTCGCTGCCGATGGTCATCAGAGGATTATACAAAAAGCTTGAAAAGCGGCCTGTACAACTTCTCTCTCCTATTCAATATTACAGTAAAAAGTAGTAGAAACATTTCCGGGTAATTAGAACGTGTGAAATTCAGAACTTTGGAGCTTCACAGTACACAGATCTCTTCTAATCTGCGTTTTCCTCTCAGCGGGGGTCAATGCATAAGGCCCTTGAATTCAAGCAAGAGCAGCTGCACCAGCTCCAAGCTCAGGTAAGGCATGCAGGAGGAGCCTAGTACATGAGCAGCTGACCATAACTGAGTGTCTTCTTGTACGGCAGAATGAGAAACATTATGTGTATGCCTAGCGGATCATTTCTGCTCTTCGCTGCACCGAGCTCCTCGTGCTGATTAGCGCTCCACCTAGACTCTGCAGCTCATGTAGGTCTCCCTTGCATGGCTCACCTCAGCTGCGTGGAGCTGCAACAGCTGCTTTTGTTGGATTTGCCTGTTTTTTACCAATTTCCAAACATTAGCAAAAGTTTTCAGACAGTCTTAGACCATGTAAATCACCAGGTAAGCCCAACAAAAAACGAAGTGTCAGGCAGGGATTCATGGGGTTACGGGACTACATATCACCGAATGTGGGAGGGTCCCGCGTGGATTTCTTGCAAAAACGCCCCCCCCCCCACGTATGCAAAGGTGCATGTAGTCCTCTACCCATGATTTATGGGACGTGTTCCCCTATGAATTACCAGGCTTGGCCGTAATGATGTGGTATCGCTTTAGGGCCAGCATGATGGGAAACCGATTGTGATCACTTCCTAGTATTAGGTTGTCCCGGAGGTTCGTTCGCACCATTTTCAAAAATTCATAACTTTCGATTTTTCCGACCGTTTCAATTGCTTTTGTTTTTATGTGAAAGAGCAAACCATGCCCTTCACAATGATAGCTTAGCTAGTCAACAGTGCTTATCTGTTGCATATATAGGAGCGGTAGAAGACGACCATAAAAGATCTATAACTTGCAATAAAAATCGGAGCAATCGGTATTATAGGTTCTATTTTCTGCTCTTTCTAACTGTGCAAAGCTTGTGCTGATTGAACGCCTATCTGTTATGATTTTCGGGAAAAATGCCAAAATAAATCAAATTCGCTTTTTTGTATTGTTCGCTCAAAAATCATAACTTTGCATAGGGATGTTCAATCAGCACAAACTCTGCACAGTTAGAAAGACCAGGTAACAGAACCTATAATACCGACTGCTCCGATTTGCAAGGTTCAGATTTTTTATGACCCTACACAGAAAATCCAAAATTTGAGTAATTTTCTCCTACCGCTCCTATCTATGCAACAGATGAACACTGGTAACTAGCTAAAACATCATTATAAAGAGCATGATCCGCTTTTTTACATACAAACAAAAGCAATTGAAACGGTTAGAAAAATCGGAAATTATGAATTTTTGAAAATGGTACGAACGAACTTTTGGGAGGATCTAATACTATTAGGTTGATTCCAGTGGCGGACCGAGGGGGCGGGGGGGAGGGGGGGAACAGGGGGGGGGCCGAGAATGAGTCGCGAAATTTTTGAAATTTACTTACATGGGTCATAAAATGTGCAAGTGACTTATTTTTGGAAATAATTAGAATAATTTTCAAAAAATTTTAAATTCAAAGTAGCCTTGTAAAAAATTTTTTTCGAAGGCGTGGCTTGCGCCACGCACCTTCACTAGAAAAAAACTTTTGCCGCCTCCCCCCCCCCCCCGGTCCGAAATCCTGGGACCGCCACTGGCTGATTCATAATTAATGCACGCTTTTCTTACCTCTTCTTCCAAGCGCTGGTTCTTAACTGATCACAAGGTTCCTCGGAAACTTTTTGTGCTGTCTAAAAGAGCGTTTCTTTTTGTTTCTTATGTTAGGTTGGTCCGAAAGTTCGTTCGCTCCATTTTCAAAAAATCATAACTTCCTTCCCCCACAATGATTTTGCGCAATTTAAATTTTATTGGAAAGCGTAAAGCATGTAGTTTCTAATTAGTGCCAGGTGACTTTCCAACATGCGCAGTTTGCAGAGATAAAATTGAAAGAAAGATATCATCCGAAATTCGGAATTTTTAAGCAAAAATTCTAAAAATCTAGAAACTGTGCGATAAAATCCAGAACAGCCATCATCCTAAGTTTTCTTATGTTTTATTATTAACTGAGTCAAGTTTGTGCCAATCGAGCCCTTCTTTCAGAAGTTATGAATTTTTGAAAACAAATGCCGAAAAATCAATTTCCTAAGAATTCTTAAGAAATCGATTTTTCGGCATTTTTTTCAAAAAATCATAACTTCTGAAAAAAGGGCTCGATCAGCACAAACTTGACTCATTTAGTAATAAAATATAAGAAAACTTAGGATGATGGCTGTTCTGGATTTCATCGCACAGTTTCTGAATTTCCAGAATTTTTGATTAAATTCAAATTTCGGATGATCTCTTTCCTTCATTTTTATCTCTGCAAACTGAGCATGTTGGAAAGCACCCAGGGGGTCTTTGGAAACTACATGCTTTACGTTTGAGTTGCGCAAGATCATTGTGAGTGAAGGAAGTTATGATTTTTTGAAAATGGTGCGAACAAACTTTCGGACCAACAAAGTGTTCCAAAAAAATGTGAACACTGTTTGATCGTTAATAACTCCCTTGCTATTATGTCTTTCGCCGACCTTGAGGAACCATTCTGTAGAGCGAGGTCTAACTTAGATTCATAGTATGGAGCGAATCGTAGATCTCTCTTCATTACTGTAGGATTACGGTAGGAACTTTGGCAAGGATTTTAAGCTATTGAAAGCCATATTCTGCCTCGGGAAAGCCAAACAAGCCAAAAACTTTTATAAATGGGTAATGGAAGCCGCTGAGTTTGAATATGAAATTTTCACTTCACTGTG